CGGCAACACACACGCAACTTCTCTCGTGTTACAGGTGTTCGTGGGCGACGGTAGCCGCTTTCCATCAGGCGGACCGTCTGCTCGTTTGCCTCTCTAACAATAAAAAAAACTACTGTTGATATGAGATGTTATACTTGTATTTCTATACATTTATAATTTTAGATTTTGTTCTACAAAAAACAGCGACTTTAACATGAAAAAAATTAAAATAAAAAATAAATAGCTTTTTACTCAAAATTATTACCATCATATCAGTTTTTAACTGTCTACTTCTAAACAAAGCCTCCCTCTAGGGGTGGAGGAGGGGGGGGGGGAGATGCAGTTAATAATGTATCCTTACTTAGCACATAGGAGACTTTATGTATTATTTCAGGCGGGTAAAATCGCGAGATGCAGCTAGTACATAATAAAAATATACTTGAGATGTGACCTCGTATAATTTTTTACTCTTTTTTTTAGCATAAACATGTCAACTGTTTTTAATGCAATAACAACCTGCTTACGCGTTAATTCGGTTGTTATTTCTTTCAACGAATTCTTTTTGACTAAAAAAGTTAATTTGATTTTTCTTTTTTTTTAATTTTTAACTTAATTTTTATACAATACTAAATTAATTAAAATATAATTGAAGTTATTACAATATTATCTTTATTCAGAAGGATTTCTTTACAAACATTTTTAAATCGTCATTTGTATTGAATGCAAAGTTCGGAAAGTTGTTATCTGTTGAGTTAAATGTAAAATATACTTACAAAATGTATACCATACCATATTACAATACCACCTGCGTACAAAATGTATACCACTGCGTTAGGTTGACTGGAAGAAATCTCTTTTAGAGATAAGTTCGCCTTTGCCAACATATATATATATATATATATATATATATGTATATATATATATATATATATATATATATATATATATAATAGTCTATAAAGTTAAAAATAAAATAAAACACAACAACACCTTATATATATATATTTATATAGGGTGATAATTAATATATTCCAATGATGACCATGTGTTAGTTTCCGATTTTATTGTATGATTGTAAGATAATTAATGTTGTGTAATTAATTATATTGTATATCCAATCTATGGATAGGCTGTGTTCTCCTTTAAGACGTTAGTAACATCTGACTAAAAAATTGTAATGTACAAGCTCACAATATTTATATATTCTATTCTACCGTTAAAAATACTAACTGTTTATTGTTCTAAGCTTTTAAAACAAAACAAATACCTTAATAACTGTAATTTGAGTTGGTGTCGTAGGCGCTTTGTCAATTGTTCGTCTTCAATCATAATTGATTCGCCATTATTTGAGTTAGTCCGATTGATTGATCTAGAAATCTGCTTGAACAGTTTGTTTGAAATTATTATATTATATTATATATATATATATATATATATATATATATATATATATATATATATATATAAATTGTAATAAATAATACATTTAAAATAATCTTCTTCATAAAAATTAAATTATTTTAAAGTATTCGTGTGTTTTTAATAAACAGCTTAAAGGGAAAAGACAGCTTTTGAATTGCAAAATTAAATTTATTTTAATGGTTAAAATAAAAGCTATTGAGCTTAGATGCTATTAAATTACTCAACGAACTATGAAGAAGGTTTTTTTAATGAATGATAATGTTATAGTAACTCAGCCTGTGTTAACGGTATACGTTGGCGAGGCACCAGTGAGATATCATAAGTAAGAATGAAAAGGCAGGCAGGCATATATATATATATATATATATATATATATATATATATATATATATATATATATATATATATATATATATATATATATATATATATATATATATATATATTTCCCATTCCCATGTACAGACATCGTCTACTTGAAATTTTATTATACTTGTATTGTAGTAAGATTTGAATTTTTATAAATAAGGAAAATATTTTGTGCCTAATTCTAGGTAATTTTTAATTTACAATGTTTTTAAGTTGGTATAGCTATGTTCTCAACGAATTCGTTATCAAGAAAGTAAAGAAATAGAACTTCGCTCAGTTTTTAGTAATTTCAATTTCATTTGAAAAGAGATGAATTTTTAAATGCGCTCGGGACACTCTGGATTCAATCGTTACATTCTAAATTCAAAACTAATTTATTCATATACAGAGTAAAAATATAATCGTTGACATTATAAATTATGTATCTGTGGGACCTTTTTTTTATGAGCAACATTCTTTTTTTATTGATTTCAAAATAGGAAGAGATTTTCAATATGGTTGTATTTCTTTATATGTTTGTTACTTCATAACTCCGTCAGCTATAAAACGATATGGATTTTTTTTTTTATGTGATAATATCCCGTCTCGTGTGGTCCCGGCATAAAATAGGCCATCCCTTTCTTTTCTGTGAATGTCGTAAGAGGCGAATAAGGGAGGGTGAGTGATGGGCAGCAAAGTCCCTATTAAAACATCTCCAAAGCCCAACTGCGGTTGCCAATCTGCCTGACAAGTGGCAACTACGTAGAAAACCCCCTTAGGGGGAAGCTTATGTTCAGCAGTTGACAGTTAAAGGCTGATATGATAATGATGATCTAAAAAGATATATTGACAGATTAACTGTCATATCTGTCTGTTTACTGTATATCTATCTTTTTGTTGTACGGATAATCTGGTAGTATTGTTTTATTGTTACCCTATTCCCTTTGGCCGCAACAGAATATCAGTGCTTTGCTCTTTTGAGGACGAAGCAATAAACTGAGTTGTGGCCATTTTGTATTGCTATGGCACACTCACAAACGAAAATTGTATTTAGCTTTATGTATTTTTTTTATCATTTATGTTATCTCGCTTTTTTTGTGTATGTATGTTGTAATTTGTGTGTTGTAAGTAATGCAAATAAATTATCTATCTATCTATCTATTAAACCTATGTTTTTTTTTTAAATTGGTTTAATAGTTTAGTTTTTGAATAACTGATTTTGCCATATAATCCTGCGATTCTAAAGCGGATCTCAGTAATGTCAGCAGTTAATATCTGTCCGGTTATGATGTTATGTGCTGCACTAAGATTACCTCAAAGGCACTGTAATCACGATAACCCCAGTCCCAAACGATCCAGGAAGGGTTCGGATTGGTGTAAAATTATAGCCCGCCGGCACAGTATAACGGGTGTGCGCATGCGTGATCATTCAAGCGATAGGACAGTGACTGAGCACATAAAACAGAATTACAAAGGAAATAAAGTAAATAACCCGTACGTGCAACTCTCCTATGAAAAGGGATTTATATTATACTTACCTACACTAAGAAAATATAACTATTTATTGTTTACGGCCCAAAACTTTGCTTGTTTCAATTATGATAATATTGTAAATGTGAAAGTATATATTTTTTTAACCGCTTAACCAATTGTGATGAATATTTTACTGAACTACGTGTTGTCTTGCAGAAGTCTATATCACTGGTTATTTGATTAAAATTATTTTGTTTAATTCCGTTATCATTAGTATGTGTGTGGCTGCAAGCACTCGAAGATTGGCCACCACTATTACTACCAGAAGTTCCACAACGTTCCATATTAGCTTTAAATTTTCGACTGCCATTTTGTTTGCGTTCGTTTTGCAACACGTCTTTCACTTCTAAATGAGGCATCTTTAGAAGAATTATTAGATCGCTACTCTGAGCCTAGTGTTAATAGTTCGGCAGAAAGCACACAAGTGCATATTCATATATATATATATATATATATATATATATATATATATATATATATATATATATATATATATATATATATATATATAATGTAACTTACAATGGCAAACAAGCTGACGGCCCACCTGGTGTGATTAACTATAATAATATAATATATATATATAGAGTAGCGATCTAATAATTCTTCTAAAGATGCCTCATTTAGAAGTGAAAGACGTGTTGCAAAACGAACACAAACAAAATGGCAGTCGAAAATTTAAAGCTAATATGGAACCTTGTGGAACTTCTGGTAGTAATAGTGGTGGCCAATCTTCGAGTGCTTGCAGCCACACACATACTAATGGTAACGGAATTAAACAAAATTCTTATATTTTTTTCTTAAAAGAAATAAACAATTCATAATGATTCGTAATGATGCTTATCTTTACTGCATACTTTGATTTATATTTGAGTGTATATGTATATATATATATATATATATATATATATATATATATATATATATATATATATATATATATATATATAATGTAACTTACAATGGCAAACAAGCTGACGGCCCACCTGGTGTGATTAACTATAATAATATATATATATATATATATATATATATATATATATATATATATATATATATATATATATATATATATATATATATATATATATATATATATATATATAGGTATTACGTATTCTTTCATTAATTATTTAAATGCATCTCGTATTTTATTACGGTTGTTGTACATTTTGAGTATGCAATGTAAACTCGACAGCTATATTTTTCATAGAAATCGAATCCCGGTAATCTGACCACAGTGTTATTACGCCAAAGGGATCAAAGTATAACCTTTCTCTGTGCAAACAATATAGGCTTAACAGTCTCCGGTCTCCGAGGATAAGTAAATGAGGAGAATGGCGAACTATGAAGATATTCTCCAAAGAATAGAATCGAGGTTAGCAGTATAATTAAAAATAAATAAATACAATATATAAATAAAAAAAAAATTTTGATCGACCTTTCATCATCATCATATCAGCCGTTAACTGTCCGCTGCTGAACATAGCCCTTCCCTATAAAGAGGGGTTTGCACTGGCAACTGCTGAGTTGCCAACCGGTCAACGAAGTTCTTTGCTCTTAATTTTTACGGAAAATTAATAAAGAACAATCAATTCAAAATTGTTGATCATCACCGAACCCCAATTTATTCAGACAGTATAATTGTTTTCATATTCCACCTCTTTGTAAGCAGGAAATTACTTGGAAATGTAATAACTGATATTTTTTGTTCACAGCCGAAGCGAGTCGGCTCTGAACAGTCCGACTGAGCCCGATGTGTCTCTCGCGGCTTCTCTCACTGACCCGCTGGAGGCTCACACCCTGGACGAGGCGAGGAGAACCATAAGGTACAAATTATCTTTATACATACGAATATTATAAAATTGTAATTAGACTAGACGATATCTATCTATAGTAGATATTGAAGCAAAAATTACATAAGAGCAATAGAAGCCATAATAAAATTTTTTAGGATTTTTGTCTCTCTCTCTCTCTGTCTGCCAGAATGTTTGTTCTGGCATTATGCAAAAAATATTGCTGCAAATTGAATGCAGTGTTTGTTTTGTTTCTAAAGCAGATATAGAAATGCTCTATGTTATTGGTTAAAACTTATTAGTAATTATTGTGAATACATATTTTTTGTCGAGGATGCAGTGACACAAGAAAAAGGCAATCAAGGTTTTGTCGAAATATTAATTTAATAATGACAATCTGCAAACTGTCCTATCACCTTAAAGGGCTTAAAGTAAAATAGATAAAATTATTTAACATTCTGCGGTAACTTTAAAACTTAATTTAAAATTCCTTGTCTGTAAGTATATGTATCTGTTGATGACATATAACAAAACCCAATTTTCCAGTAATTTCCACTCATTAAACCGTTAAGAGATAGCTAGAAGAAAAATGAAAAATACTATATCAAAGTGTTTATATATCTTTGCAGAGATCTCCGTATGAAATACCGAGCGCAAGCGCATCAACTGTTAACATGGCGTCGAGCGCATCGTACTCAAGAGGAGCTCGTCTGTCGTCTGCAACGAGAGAAAGCCGAGCAACTGAAATCCCTATCGAGTCAACTTTTACTCTTCGAGTCCCGACTCGTTCGCAAGCAGAAAGAGATCACAAACATGTTAGCTTTAAGAGAAACAATCATTATGAAGCAACAGAAAGTGATTGAATCGCTCCAAGCCAAGCTTCTCGATAATGGTATCGATACTTCACAAACAATTCCAGATTTTAGAGAACTGCTCCAAGATACTCATATAACTGGCGATTTCGATTCTTTAAATGATTCTGACTCGGCTGTTATTATGGAAGATGTAGACTCAGATTGCAGCAACCTACCCCACATACCAAGATTTAGGTCTACCAACCCTGATAGTGTGACAATAGTTAGATCGATATCCGATGCTATAGATCCAAATTTAAAATACAATATTGTCAGACGATCAAATGGTTTCCTGCGCAGACCAGAAATCTTGGAAACTGTATACAGCGTAGAAGAAGAGGCTGATGGTGATTCTACTAAGGGGCTAAGTGCGCAAAGTAGCACAGAAAAAGACATAAAAGACGCTAATAAAACCGATGAGGAAAAATACAAAGAAACTAGTCTTCTTGCTCAAAGGCGGGATAACTTTCGAATGAGAAGTGTTGTTTTAACAGCCGAAGTTAAAAGTATAGATAGTGATAAAGATCTTAAAGCTAAGACTGGCAAAGAAATGTGGTCGTACAGTTATGTGCCAAAAAGGATGACTCCTGCCAACGATTCAGATGAAGAGGTTACTTCGAATGCCGAAAGTGATGAGGGCGAACCGGAGCCACGATCTAATCATGTGGTGACATACAATAGAGTTATGTCCAATCATCGAAATGTCACAAAGCCTAAAGATGTCAAATATAAAAGAATAAATAAAGCTAAATCGAAAAGTTTAGAAGAGTTGAGGGGTAGATTAAAGAACTGGGTGGAAAAGGGGAATAAGTTGTCAAACATACCATTGGAGCACGCTCAAAGCTATGCCTGAACGATTTTAATAAAGTTCCTTTAATTAAGTTCCCGTGTGAAATTTCAGGATGTCGGAAAGTTTACGGCGTCCCAGTTGTGTTCGACGGAGCGAGAAATTTGCTGTTATTTGTTTCCAAAACAGCTTCGATCAACCACAATTTAAGGATCACCGTATTGTGTTTGTTAAAGCCACACGTATTTAGGATTTAATTATATGAGCGTGGAGCTTTATTATGCTGAGAATTCGACTGTGATTAAGTCGGCGACGGTTTTGAAATGAAAATGTAATGTATCCGTATAAAATCTTAGCAAAATAAAGTCTATTTTTAAAATATTGAAACAATTAAGTACCTTTAAGTAAATAGGGTTGTACCTAACAGCTTTACTGAATGAGGCAAATTATTATTGATACTCTATTCTTGATACTTGGACTATTGTAAATAAATTTCTTATATGTATTAATATATATTTGCAACATAAATCTAGAGTAAATTGTAGATTTTTAATTAACACTGTCATCACAATTTTCTATTGAAATATTTTATTAATTAGTTTTTTTATGGCGCATAAAATTAAATTTTCATTATTTGAAACATAATGCAAAGTTTACTTTTTCGTAAATATTTCGCGCGTGAAGTCGTATAACTTAATCTTCTATAATTGTTTCACATACAATTTCAATGGAAAATGGTGAAGAAGCTTTGGAAATAACAAATTTTTGCACACGACTGATTTTACGTATTTCATTTACTAAATATAAGAAGATTGATTGAAAAACGTGAGTCGCTTTGTTGGAATTGAAAATGTTGTTCTGTGATTTAGAAAAAAAAAAATCTCAACATGTATGTATGTTTATTCTTTACTTGTTATTCGATAATACATTGCAGCTGTAAAAATTTTGCTAGTGTTTAATGTTTAAAGATTTATGCAAAACTAAATAATTGTTTAGGGGAATGTTTATAAGTATTGTATTCGTCTCGGTGCCAATTATTAAACTAATATGTTTTTCAAGTAAGAAGTAGATTTATCACTTTGTATGTGGGACGTTGAATGGATTAAATAGATAGAGTTTAATCAGATTTAAACGAGTACTTATTTTTAAAACAACTAAAAATGTGTTCAATGAAAGAGGACTAAATATTATTTAGAAGTAAATCCTATTCTGTTAACATTTTTGTTGTATTTTTGTTATTTTTAAACTTATCACTATAAACCCTAAATACTCGTTTTAAATTTAATTTACATATTTGACATTATAACAAGTGTTAAGAAGAAATATATGGTCGTAACCTCAGATGGAATAGAGGCTAGATCATATTCCTCTAGATAGAGGATTCGTATAAAAAACGCTAATCCAAAACGAAACCAACATTTTTATTCTTGTGTATTGTGAACAGTGATACCAGAATTTATAGTCAATACTCAGTAAGTCTGAGAAATATGTACTATAAGGTTATGGGTAACATTAAAAATAACACAATATTAAAAAGTCAATATTTGAGAATAAAATTACTATTCTGACAATGAATAGAAAATTGTCTATTTATTGTCAGAATCATAGAGTGGTCGACATTTTGATTATCCATATATATTCAATGTACATTATGTATAATTACGCCAGAAAAAAAAAATCATATTCAATTATAGTTAATTCGTATTGAAAAATTCTTTCGATCCGGAAATTTTTATCAAAAATAGTTATCAATTTTATTTTAGTATTGAAAAACCTATGTGATCTGGGGATTTTTTAATCGAATTTGAACCTGAAACACTGAATAAATGCGCGTTTTTTTTATTACAAAACATGCGGCTGTCAAAATTTTCCGTTGATTGGTCATTCGTTGGGAGCGCTTTGGAGCGTTTTTGATGCTATATCTAGATGTATAATGATATTCATGATCTATGTTTTTTTTAATTATTGAGAAGCATTAGTTGATTACTATGTTAAACTACATTAAAACCATATTACTTAATACATATTATAGTTTCGGTGACTTCTTGCAGAATGTAGACCACCTTTACGTTACTTTTTTAATAAGAGAGTATATAATTTAAAAAAAAATATTCTCTTTTGGTAATTTGTATATTTTATAAATAATTATTAGCAAATTTTTAAATTCAAATTATATCGAATACATAAGTGGTTTATATGAATAAATAAGTAAATTACAGTAAGGGTTTACTAAAGTCTCAATAGGAAATATAATTAATGATTCTATTCCACGACTTCAATTGAGAAAAAAAGTTATTTTGATTAAAAACTAAACCTTCTTCTTCTTCTTCTTTTCATTTAAGAGTTTCCTCTTGTCGGTGCAACTAATTCATGCATCTTCTTCCAGCCAGTTCTATCCCAGGCCATATCCTTGACCTCCCCATACGACATGACACCTAGTGTTTCTTTTATCTGTCCCATGTCACATGTTTCTATACCACTGAACCGATTTTAATAAAATTTCTATGGGACCAATGTGTAAGTATATCCTTTCAGATAAAAAAAAATCCAAATCGGTTTAGAACTAACAGAGTTATGAGGTCACAAAAATAAAGTAAAAAACAACAGAATTAAGAACCTTTTTCTCTTTTTGAAGTCGTTGGAAAAAGAAACAAAAAATATTTAAATAAGTATACATATTTCTAATGTACTACTTTTATTTAAACAGTGAAATATGTTTGTTCTAAAGATTATTATTTTTTCATTTTATTTTATTTATTCTTTATTGAACATATTACAAAAAAAATATGTCTAGTACCAAAGGCGTACTTAATATAGCATTCTCTCCCAGTCAACCTTTAGCGAAACAAATTTAATTACGCGGTGAAAAAAATTGAAAATTGTTGCAAATAAATATTTACACGTACGTATCGATATATTTTGTTTATTATTTATGTTTAAATAAAATATATAACCATTTGAATGTTCAAATAAGTTATCACATCAACGTCCCATATAAATTGTCCCACATATCATTTTCAGCTGTATGAAAAAATGGCTTGGAATCTATATTTAAATAAATCATATGATTAATGTGCCCTATGTTTATTACTTAATAGGAATCCAATACGCTGATTATTTAATTGAAATAAACACGATTACCTGTATATGTATAGTTTTATTTCTATATAAAGTAAAGTCTTACATTCCACCATAAACTAAAATTTCATCCCAACCATCTGGACGAGTGGCGGTCTTCCACTGTGTGTTTTTCAAGGCACTTTCTTTCACGCACAACCACTCTTTGGAATCAACTTCCAGCAGCAGTATTATACCGAACCGATACGACATCGTAACCTTCAAGAAAAGAGCATATTCCTTTTTAAAAGGCCGGCAGCACACCTGCAATGCCGTTGGTATTGTGAGTGAACTTGGGTAGTGGTAGTCACTTACTATCAGGGAGCCGCATGCGCCGCATTCCCCTTACAATATAGAATAGAATACTTTATTTGCTTTGAAATGGTGATGAGTTCTTACTGAACAAGTAAACAGTTCTATATTCTGCTAATATTAAACATGCAAATAATAATGTAAAGCTTTTTTTTTTTAATATCAGTAAATAATTTACAATTCACAATACCGGTACAGTACCGTACATAATATGTCACATTTATATTTATACACGATATAATTTAAAATCATAAGTGTTACATTTTAGTTTATTATAATATTTCTAATGTCAAATAAAAATTACAAACAAATTTACCAGAGGGACACTTTGTACAAAAGTCGATTGCTTGGGTACCTCTGTCCCATTCGTGTTTCAACCGTGAAGCAGTTGTGTTTACATGGCTGTGTTTCGGTTTGAAGGGTGGGATATGGCGTGAATTTACTGGGTACAGAGGAATAACATCTGAGTCCTTAGGAATGGCAATGCATGGGGGGGGGGGGGGTATCATGGGCGAAACAGTATACCCTGTTATGTCCATGGTACTACTCATGTCTATAGGCGACGGTTGCCACTTTTCATCAGGTGGGCCGTCAACTTATATATAAAATGAGGCATTTAAAACGTAAACGTTTCCTTCCTTTTTTCCTCAATTCTTCCTCCAAACCGTAGGTGGTGAAAACCACCAACTAATACATTCCCAAAGAGGGTTGACGTCAGGCAGGCGGCCGGTCGTAAAACTATAAGCCAAATCCTTTAGTGAATGGATAAAACCATATTACGCCGACCCCAAATAATAATTGGGATAAGGGTAGGAAGATGATGATGAGGCATTTAAAGAAAAAGTGCCTACAAAAATTTAAAAGGCAGGCGACGCACAAGCAACTCCTCTCGTGTTCCAGGTGTTCATGGGTGACGGTAGCCACTTTCCTTCAAGTGTACCGTCTGCTCGTTTGCCTTTCTAATAATAAAAAAAATACTATTATGAAACGTGTGAGGGTGCGAAATAGGATAGCAAACAAGCTGACGGCCCACCTGATTGATGGTAAGTGAATATGTTACTGAACTAGGTGTCTTGTGGAACTCCGTATCACTGGTTATTTGATTGAAATTATTACTATCAGATATCTTTATATTTATGTTAGTAAGTTAATCATTAAAGATCTGATCTTCAATTTCTCGGAATATTCGTGGCTGTTTCGTTTTGTCGCATGATAAATTGTGTATCGTAACAAAAGACCACTGTCACAATTTATGAAACTATTTCGGAGCCAGTTTCTTTCAATGGCCCGTCAACTGTGTCGCGGCAAATAAAAGATTACGTGGCGTGTTTCGACGTTAAGAAATTACTCCGTCTGACATCACGAGTTGCTTTTGTACGAGAAGTTTCGAGGGAAGAGAGATATTTTCTCTGATTGGCAAGAATCATATTAATAATATATGTAGCTAGTTATTATTGGCATCCTCCGCGCGACCGAATTATAGTGATAGAGCGCGACAAAAAATACCCAAAATGAAAGTATAAATTCTCTATTTAAAAATGCATGGAGTTTACTAAAATTCGTGACGATCGTTTGAGTCGTAGTAAACAAGCAATTAAACACATTTTCATATTTATAACGTTAATAAAGATTTATAAGTGAATTTTGGATTTTTTCAAGATTAGAATGAAATAGTGATTATACAATATTTACGTTACAATTTTGTTATAATTTAAGATCTATAGTCCATCATTAAATCGAAAAGTACTCCGTGTTTGTGTCCGTGTATGGCCATCATCTAAGGACTGTTCCTTATGGCAGTCTATGGGGGAGGTCTATGTTAAGCAGGGAATATATAAGGGGTGATATGATGACAATGATGTCTAATTTATACCATGGGTTACCCATTTCTTTCTTCCTTCCTGTGGGTGGGTACGCAAAAACATCTTTTGATTTTTTGGCGTATCTTCAAGAGTGCTAAACTGATTTTGTTAGTTTGAAAGTGACCCTTTCCGATTGTCACTGTCATTATGGTCTTATACCAATTGTCGTGTGTGATTACATATAGATTGCAAATATTCTCTCTAGTACGTAGAACAAAATCTTAAATGATAATGAGTCACTCGATTGTCTAAAGTATCAAGAAGTAATTATTTTATAACACTACATTAGACCCAACTGTGAGGTATCATTTCTTTAAACCTATCTCTTAACTTTATATTTTATTTTAATAATTTCTGGAAATTACCGTCATAGATATTTTCACTTTTTTATAATTAAAAGGCCGGCAGCACACCTGCAACGCCTTTAGTGTTGTGGGTGATCATGGGCGGTGGTAGTCACTTACCACCAGGTGAGCCGAATGCTCGTTTGCCCCCTGAGTTGTAAAAAAAAAAAATTCTGGCCATGTAGTCCCGACATAGAACATGCCACTCATTCCTTTCTTATAAGTGTCATAAGAGACAACTAAAGGGACTTAATATAGAGGAATGTGGAAATGCATATATATATATATATATATATATATATATATATATATATATATATATATATATATATATATATATATATATATATATATATATATATATATTCAGCAGTGAATAGTTAACTTAATAATTAATAAGATTTCGTTGTAATATATATAAATATTAAATTGAAATATCAAGAAATAGCGCATCAGAATTAGGCCCAATGTGTCACAGTTTAAATTAACCCGTATTTTTATTAAAAATTCAAAAGTTACAGCGCTCGATGTGATTTTAAACAGAAATGTTTTGTTGCGCGAATAAAAGGATTGTTGTGGGTTTGCGGGTGTTTTAAACAAACGCTCGTATAAATCTTTTGTGGTATCAATCTTGTATACAAAATCTGACCTCCTTTATTGCAACTTCAATTTTAAAGAGATTTAATAAAGTATCCAAAACTTAACAAGCTTTTTTTTATTATAATAGTAACTTTCTGATCATCATGATAGGCTAACAGGCCTGTTTTTATTCTCATCGATCACCCTTCACTGGTGCTCCGCCAGCGTATCCCGTTCAGCGTATCAGCGCAGGCGGGGTCCATTTTTCATCCACCAAAAAAACCACCTGCGTTAACGGTATACGCTGGCGGGGCACCAGTGAGAGATGATGGGTGAGAATGAAAAGGCAGGTCAGTTAGCCCATCGTCATGAATACACCTGGAATTCAGCATTGTGGTATCCAAAAGGGGCCACGTGGAGGTCGACCTGACAAGGTGTATCCAATCCCACTGCTGCTAGCAGTGGGATTGGAATTTTTTCATCAGTACACTTGTGCGAAGCCGGAGCGGGTATCTGGTATATTTAAAAAAAAAGAAGAACCTCTTTTCAATTCGGTTGTGTTTTTCTTTTATGTTTATTACCTCATAACTCCGTCTGTTATAAACCGATTGGGAAAACAGATTTTTTCCTAAAAAAAATTTACTCGCAGACATGTTATGGTTCCACAGAAATTTTATCGAAATCAGTTCAATAGTTTAGTTTTTAAGCCCAAATAACTCTTTTGCCACAATTGAAGTCGGTTTTTCGTGGAACAGAATCTTAATTTTAAAGTCAATTGAAAAGACAAAAACAAATTATCTACATATAAGTACATACATATCGCCTTCGGAAAGTAATGAACCTAAACGAATATACGTACGTATATACGTCTTCCTTATTCTTTCATGAATTCTTTTACAAAGGAGTGTAAAAAATCCTTTGTAAAGATTGTCAAATTGAATTAAACTTTTTGAAAGCAACGTTAAATTTGAGTGCGTTCATAAAATAATTGTATTGGCACATTTTCTCGTGTCGCTAGCGAAATACAGGGGAATTGTACTCACTATAACTGAATTAGGAGCTTTGTATAGCTTCTAACTTTTTGCCACGTGGATTAAATCTCCTTCTATTAGAATTTTGCGTAGTTTATCTTATATATAAAATTCTCGTGTCACAGTGTTTGTTACCAAACTCCTCCGAAACGGCTTTACCGATATTTGAAATTTTGTGTGCATATTGTGTAGGTCTGAGAATCGGCCAACATCTATTTTTCATACCCCTCAATGATAAGGGTGACCCACCCCAAAATATTATTTTTATTTTTTTGTAAATTTTTTTTTAATTTTATTTTGTTATAATTTAGCATTGAAAAATACATACAACTTTAAATTTTCATTGTTTTACGATCAACCCATGTATTTTAATCGAGATTTTTATATTTCGCGATAAGTGGTAAAATAACGTTTACGGGGTCAGCTAGTATTTTAATATAACTTTAACGGATGGACGCCCAACAGTTTGCTTACTGTCTGATAAAATTTGAAAGATTAGAAGCAGCAAATAATAGCTAGCTCTTGT